ACGAGTGTGCGTGAGAGAGAGAAAGCGAGTGAGAACGAGAGAGAAAGAGAGCGAGCGAGAGAGAGAGAAAGAGAGAGAGAGAGCGAGCGAGCGAGAGTGCGTGCATGGAATCGACCAGGAACAAAACAAAAAAAAAGCAACACAAACGAACGAATGGAACGTGAGCGTGCTTGTGCAAGTGAGTCGGGGCAAAATCGCAACAAAAGTAACAAAAAAAGAAAAAAGATGGCTAGAAAGATAGAAGGAAGACGGAGGAAAAAATAGACGGAGAGAAACGATGTAACACGAACGAAAACCGAGTACGAAAGGGAAGGTAAAAACGGCTTTTCAGATCGGTCGACTGTGACTTGACGAGCAGTCGGGAAAGCGCGCATTTTAAAACGATTTTAAAACGTAGAAAACGGAAAAAAAGGATAAAAAAAAATAAAACATAGTAACGACGATGTTTCGTTCAGAACATGTATATGAGACTGACCCGGCCCGCCGCGGCCTCCAAGAGTTTGCAATCAACCGTACGTACCTTTGTAAGTCGAAAGCGTGTCTCGTCCCTCGTCTTTGTCCGTCCACCGGGACAGCCCTCGTCGCGACCGTCCCTCTCTCTCTACTCCCGAACTTAACCTCTTCGCGGTCGTTCGGGCGACATCGGGTGGACTCGGGTCGCGTCGGGCTCGCGCGTTACCCGGTATCGCCCGGCGAGACGAACTTGTCGGCAGCCGCGTGTAAACACGCTGGCAGCGAGATGAATAAGGAAACATCGGCATGGAGAAAAGAGTAGAGAAAAGAGCGCAAAAAGGAGAAGAAAGGAAGAGAAAGAGAGAGAGAGAGAGAGAGAGAGAGAGTGACGGAGAGAAAAGAATACGATATACGTTCGCACGTGTGCGGTCGCGTGTCGCGCGGGACAGAGATGGATGACGGGAAGACGAGCGCGTTAGACGAGAGGCAACGGTGTATGACGATGGTAGAGCGTGTGAGATGCGTGCGTGTGAGTGAGCGAGAGGCAGCGAGAGCTAGAGCACGGCGTGTGACGAGGAAAGACGGAGAAAGACGGGAGAAAATGAAAAAGAAGTCCGAGGAAAGCGAAGTCGCGTGGCGGTAATCGGCATTAAGAGGAGAAAAAACGAAATCGGCGCAGTGTAAATAGTAGATTCGTAAGGCTAAGTCCTAGAAGGCGCGAGTGGACGAGATTTTTGCTTTTCTTTTTTTTTTTTATCGAAAGCCGAAACGCTCGGTGATGAGATAGGAAGAAAGAGGAAGAGAGAAAGAGCGATAGATAGAAAGCGAGGGAGTGCGAGCGAGAGCGATAGATGCGTAGGGAACGGAACAGAGCGAACAAGCGTGTATAGAGAAAAAGAGAGCGAGAGAGAGAGAGAGCGAGTGAGAGAGAAATGGAGAAAAGAGTGCGAAGATACGCGGCGGGCCGCCGCCGACGTGTTGTTGAGACGCCCGCCCCACCCCCCATATGCCCCCCGTAGTACAGTCGACGCCGAGAAGTATGATCGGTGCAGGAGAGAGAGAGAATGAGAGAGCGAGCGAGCGAGAGAGAGAGAGATAAGGCATAGAGCAAAAAGTAAAGAAGATAAAAATAAAACAGTCAGTTGTGGCGAGAAACGCAGAAACCTAGAGAACACGAGAATAAAACACACGCCAATGTAACAATCCACGTACATGTAATACACACGCGTATGGACACGGAAACGCATATGTTGTAGACAGGCCGACCGGAGAGAATCAGCGTAAATCAGCGTAAACCGGGCGTAATGCGAAAGAGCAAGAGAGTGAGAGAGAGAGAAAAGAGTACGTAGCATCTAGCGTCGCGCGCGAGAAAAGGACAGGCGAGTTTGGAAATAGATATGGCGTATAGAGCGGCAATATAGGTAACGCGAATATGGAAACGAACGAATGGGCAAGATGAAACTGCTCGATGGGCACGCAGAAAACCGTTATCTCGCTACTTTTTTCAGCGCAGCACCGTTCGAAATCCCCTCGATCACACACACACACACACACACACACACACATACATACACACACATACATACACACGCACAGGACACGCAGCAAAAAGACAGACACACGACACACGCAACCCCGAAGAAGCTTCGTAGTGAAACCACTCTGTGTATTTATTGTACTCGAGGACAAAGTCATTCCCCCCCTTTGCGCTGTGTATCCACGATCAACACGCAGACACGCGTAAACCTAATTTCACGTACACGTACACATACACACGTATACACGCTCCCTCGACTCGTTTTTTGACCCTTGAATCCTTCTTGCTGTCACCCGTGCTACACCCTTCGAAACGAACACCCCCTTGTTTCCTTCCTGCAGCAGATTAGCCAATACCCGCTTATAGAGCATCCAGCCTTGAACAGTCGTCATCCGAATCGTTGTAGCCGGATCGTACGTGTATAACCGACACGTGTACGCCGGGCCACGATTTTTCCGCATCTCAGCCTATTATCGACACGGATCGAGCTCCTGTCTCTTCAGCGATCCATCGTTGTCCAAGTATAATTGTCCAGTCTATCCCGCCCGCAAGAGTTTCCCCCCCCCAGATATTCGTAATACTTGTTATGCATAAACTACACATAATGATTATTATAGTAAACGATACATAAAGTATGATATATTTCTCTATCCATTAAGAAAGGAGGATGCAAGCAGAAGCTGTTGTTTCTTTGGTGGAAACGATGAGAAACAGAGCGCAGGCAGAGCAACAACAAAGATATAGGGAAAAAAACGTAAAAAAAAAATAAATGATAATATGAATGGTGGAATGAATAAAAAAAAAAAAATAAAATAATAATAATGTACGGAAAGAATAACGAACATACCGAAAGTGTACTGTATTACAATTGCAAGAATACAAACGCAGCCCCGCATATTGCCCAGTGAGCACGTCGTTTTGTACGCTTGGGAGTTGTGAGGTCGTCTGAATAAACATTGTCTGGTGAATTATACAGAACATCTCGTCTCTTATTTATGCGCTCCCCCACGAAAATCCTCTTCGTCCACCCTCGCTTCCCTTATTCCACCTCTGCTCCTCACGAACGTCGATCATCCTCTTCCGGCGGAAGCTCTCGAAGGAAGATGCTCGAGCAGCATAGTGCGACATACTGTGTCTGTCGCAGAAGAATCTTCTCGCAATTTCTCACAGTCGGCGTACAGTTGAAAAATTTGGGAACTCTCTAATTCGAAGCTGTGTTTCGAGAAAATAGAGATCAAATTTTTTCATCGATTATAATTTTACACGATTGGGATCCCCAAAAAATTCCTACGTTTCGCGTTGAATAATAAAACCAAAGAAAATAAAATAATAATACAATTTAAAATTCTATTGAGAAACCTGTACAAATTGAAATGGATATAGCAATTACATAGGTTTTGATTCCTTCGTTTATGTAAAATTATTAACACACTACGATGTTATTCGGAAGTGTTAATACAATTTAAAATTTTACCATTACCTGCGTTTTGAAAATAGCAAAATAATTTTCAATAAAAATTCTCAATAAAAATGTACCTTTCTTTCTCGAGGAAGTGGAACGGAACTATTGCAAATAAGGGTAGAATTGCGGATTTATTTTGGAATTTGGAACCACGAGAGACCACCCAAAACTGTTGGGTCGAAAGTGTCGATGGAATCGGCTTCGGAGGGCTTTCGAGGCCCATTGAGGGAAATTGATTCGTTCGGGAAAGGTCCTCCATTTTCTTTACCCTTGGAAATAAAGTATCGTCGATTTATTGCCTCGTGATTTCGTATTTGTTTTTCTTTCCTGTTTCGGTGAGAAATGGTGGAATTTGTCGTAAGGTTGAGATTCGACGAGAATCGTGAAAATAAAATGGCCACCGGGGACGAACATCTACGATTAACGACGTTTTCCTCTGGTCCCTTAATCTGCTTAAAATAAATTAAAGAATCGGAGATTCGATGATTTTTGCATCGTTTTAACCACTTGCGCTGACAGGAAATTCACAGACGCGTGTGCCAGAACAGTCCAGTGTTTCTTTGACAATTGCCTGACGACGTG